AAAAAAAAAAAAAAAAAACTTGAAACTGCTAAGCTTAAACGCTGCTCCAAGCAGCGTTTCCAATATCAGCTTTTGGGCCCAAACCGTTGTTGTCATCCGCTATTTTACCAAACAATAATTTTGAGGTGGTCAAACTTCCAAATTAGCTAACAGTATAAAAAACGCCAAAACTTGGCGGAAACGCTAACAACCAAACGTACCCAATGACTTATCTTATAGAGATTCTATAACTTTATATGGAAAAATTAAATATTGAAAAATATAAAATAAAAAAAGTCAATAAAATGCAAATTTGATGAACAAAAAAGTTTCACATCTAGTCCCCTAATTCCAAAAATGCGTTGAGCCTAAGTGGCACAGGCTCGCGCGCTTTGAAATCTTACTTGGCGAAAAATCATGCTTCGTAATTAGGTTTAAATTATAAACAATGTTATACATCAATAATTTTAGGTCCGACGTTTCATAAATATTGAAAAGCTAACTTAGGTAATTCCATAATACTTTGTCTAACATAAACCTTAACTTGTTTTGTAAACTTATTTTCTGCTTTTTATATAACTAATATAGCCCTAATTTTTTTTTTTTTTCGGAATCTCTCACTTTTCCAAATTTAATATTGTTTATTTATTTTTAATTTTTCATGTAAATTCTATGAAATGGGATATTTCTTAATCCGGCTTGTTTTGGCATTCATATCTGCCTTCTTATTATATAAGAAAACTGGAGACTCATTCTTTGCTCGACACGTGTCTTGCCTCAGCGTGCGTTTATCAAGCATTTATGCTCTTTTTCATTTTTTTGCCACTGTCCGCGTGAGCTTTAATGTTTGTGTTTGACTAACATATGCACCATCTTGCATTGTTTTTTCCTAACTGATGCCACGTGCAGTGCACCCTTTTGCGCTGACCAAAATAACCTCATGTTTTAGTGGATTATGTTTGGGTTTTTAGGAAATTCATATTTTATTAAATTTAATGGCTCAAATTGAAATAATTCTTCTCAAAATTTCGACCCATTCTCTTTGTCCTCTTTTTTTCGTCCTTCCCTCATTTCTGTAAATCTTACAGCCGCCGGAAGCCGCCCGAGCCCAGCCGATCACAACCGCAAGCTATCGCTCGTAGTCGCGCCCAGCCAGGCCCAACGCCAGCTCCTAGCAGCAACGCCGGCAACGCCCACGAGCCCCCTTCGTCGTCTGCCTGCTCGCGACCCGCGTAGCCGATGTTCCCAGCGCGCAAGGAGAACGTGCACATAATCCGCGCGTGCCCAGTTAACTTGCTCCGCACGCCCGCGTGCTTCCAGACTGATGAGGATCGTGTGTTTCGACTGCCGATAAGCCGCGAACCCGCGCCTTGAATTGCCGATAGTGTTTCTCAAGCCACAACCGCGCCTCTTGAAACGAATATAATTGCAATAGATTCTTGGTGAAAAACTAAAGCAAAGTGTTTGAACAAAAGTTCAGAAGTTTCTACTACTAACTAAGACTACTCAAACTATTCTTTCATTCATCCATTCTA